GACCCCGACACACGCTAACGAGCCATCTTTAATTGCTTCTGATGCCCTCTTGACAAATAAACATTTATTTTAGAAGCGCTCTAACTTTTCAGGCCGGCCTCAAATTCATCACAAGATAAAAACTCGGCTCCGGCACAATTTAACGGTTTCTTAACTTACCATGGTTTTAAATATATGACTAATCAGGCAGAATGCGTTTATTATATTTTCTTACCTTCATTTTCATCAATTTCTTCGTTATCGGCATTGCCAGGAAGAAGTTGTTCAAGATCACTTCTAGATGCAGCCTCATCATCAGACTGATTTTCAGCATCCACGCGATCGAGCTTTGGTAGATCTTCATTCTCATTTCCTCTAAATTCTGCACGTATAGGTAATTGTGGTAAAACAATAGTATCTTCTTGCTCTTCTTCACTCTCATGTTCGGTTTCATCAGGCAACTCAAAACCCTCTCCACGGCCATTGTTTCTTTCCAAATTAACAGACTTTTCCAGACCCAGATCATCCCTTCCATTATTACCACTGTCACTTAAAGGCAATTTGGGATATAAGCCTACAATGTCATCCCTAACATTGGGCGCTTGAACCTCTTCTGCAGTAATGGAGTATAGATCTAGTTGAAAGAAAAATGCCACTGAAATAAATAAACAGGCTTGACGTCTCGGGATTAATAGAACAAGAAGCGAAATCATTTTGACAATCTTCGGTCAACAATCGATTCTAAGATTTAAAAAATCACGGGCTTTGGTCCATTCAGAATAAACCCTTGTCAACAGAAAACAATAAAAGAAACAAATCTGATCTAGATCTATATCGCTTCAACTGCCATAAGAAGTAGGGCCTATGGATCTCCAAAACTTCTTGCCCAGCCTAGGCGTAAAAATTTGATCTTTCTATTTCCTCTGTGATGATTAGCAGTTTGTTTAGCAGATCTTTCTTCGTCTCCGAATTAAGAATTTCCTACATACGGGTTGCCAGATTAATCTCAGTTTAAGTGAATCTGAAGAGGGCCTAATTCTATTTTATTATGAATGAAATCTTAAAGATGATTTGCTATGAACATTTGAAGAAAGTTTTAGCGTTAAGATTAATAGATTGATTGTAAAGATATGAAATATCCTTATTTCTAACATTTAACTATAGTTTTCTGAAGTGCACGATTTTCAGAATTTAGACCAAAAAAACGCCAATGACAATATTAATCTGCCACAGAAAAATTAATTGAATGATCTCCCTTGTTGTTTTCCCTGCAACGTTGGCAGGTTTTATTGCCAGTTTTTACACCATCAAAAAGTCTGTAACAGTCAGTTGCCAAGTTGAGGATTTTTAAAATATAATACTAAAAGAGGTTATTGGTTACGCATGTTTGAGTAAAAAGAGTTACATGCATTTCTAATCCGTGTCAAGAAAATCGACTTGTTTTCAAACTAAAGCGTTACGAGAGAGAGAGAAAGAGAGAGAGAGAGAGAGAGAGAGAGAGAGAGAGACAGACAGACAGACAAAAAGCTACACAAATGAGGAGAAGACGGGAGTGACAGA